GAACTCAGTTTCTAAGATTTAACTGAGGTCCGCTTAGCTAAGAGGTAGTCTGTTAAGTTGTTGGGGGGGTTAAGATTTCGTTTTTAGTTTATATTTCTATAAATCATCTACATAGGATGATTGACAGGAAGGACATAGTAATGCTGCCCTTCAAACTAGTTGACAAAATAGACCTAGATAAAATCTTTATTTAATTTTACTATTGACTTTTTTTTATCTGTGGAGAACCACATTTATGTCAGGCTATGGCCTATTTCTAGGAAATTCCAAAGTTAGCAAGTATATGATGTAACTTCATCGTTTCTGTCACTTTTAAAGAATTCAGAAAATACCTTGTAGTTTGTATGTTCATAATTTTGAGCCAGGCTCGGTGGCTCAGCCTGTAATCCCGCGCCTTGGGAGGCTGAGGTGAATGGATTGCCTGAGCCCGCGGGTTCGAGATCCGCCTGGGAAACTTGATGAGACCTCATCTCTACAATAAATCAAAAAACTTAGCCAGGCGTGGTAGTGCGCGCCTGTAGTTCCAGTTACTTGGAAGACTGAGGCGGAAGGATCGCCGGAGCCCAGCAGGTGGAGGCTGCGGTGGCTGGGAGCGGCCACTGCACTCTAGTCTTGGTGACAGAGTGAGACTCCAACTCAAAAAAAAAAAAATTGAAATAAGTATATATTTTGAATAAGGAAATATTCTGAAATAAACCATGGAGATAGTTAAAAGGAAAGCAAAACGAGACAGCAAACGTGTTTTTAAAACAGAGGGAAAATATTGTGCAAGAACAAGAGCAAATTTGTTGAATGATTAATTAGAGTAATAATATGAATTTGAATTTGACTTGAACAGCTGCTTTTCAAGATTACTTTTCTAGCTAATGCCAGAATCAGAATTCACATTTGGTCTAACAACAAAGCTATAGTATGTTGCTGTGTGAATCCCACTGGAGTATTTCATAGAATCGTGGCTTGTGGTTAATGTGGTGATGAAGGTTTGCATTATGATTGATGCCTCTGTTCTTGATTTAACAACTGTATTCAGAGACAGCTTGGAGGGAACTCTCTTTGCTTACCACAAAGTCTTTTCTTAAATTTGTCTTTTGGACATTATTATTGATGACCTGACTAAAAAAAATTGAAAGCATGCTCAGCATATTTACAGGAAATAATACAAAGATGTTTTTATTGTTGCTGAAGATATTCAGTTGATTAATTGGCCTTGAAGGCTAACAATTAAAATCATTTCTTTGTTTTGTAGATTTGACTAGAAAGTCTCTGTAATTTTTTCCAGTTCTAACATTCTTTGACTCTAGGGCTATGCTTTTTAAATGTTAATAGAGATCTTGTTAAAATGCAGATTCTAGCTAAGCAGCTCTAGAGTAGGGTCTGTGATTCAGCATTTCTAATGAGGGTCCAAGTGATGCCCATGCTGCTGGATTACACAGCATACTTAGGGTATGGAATCTCAGCTATTTGGAGAATGACTTAGGCCATTGAATATGGTTTGAGGTAGGGATTGGCAAGCTTTTTTTTGGTAAAGGCCCAGGCAGTAAATATCTTGGACTTTGTGAGCCATTTAGTGTCTGTCACCACTGCTCAGTTCTGCCATTGAAGTGCCAAAGTAGCTATGGACAATAAGTAAACCAATGAGCGTGGCAGTGTTCCAGTAAAACATCATTTACAAAAACAGGTGGCAACCAGGTTTGGACGTGAGCTGTCATTTGCTGACTTCTGGCTTGAGGTATTTGGAATGTCAATCTTAACAAGGTTCAGAAAATATGATTAAATACAGAGATTATTTGAGCTCAGAGCTTGAGGATGGCCACCTACGAGCATAGATTAAAGTTTCCCTGAATATACACTCTGATTAGCAGCAGTTACAAGTGGGTTTTTAAGGAAAAAGAATTAGCAGTTCCTAACTTGTTTACCAATAATTTATATTAAAATAACAAGCTATTGATTGGCTATACATTGTTCTTTTTATCACAAATTCCAGGAACATAAAGATAATGTGTGAGGCAGCCAATCAGGAACAAAATCCCTTTAAACAGTTGTTCCTGGGCTCATACTCAATCTCTCTGGGCCTGATAAATTTTGCATATCTCACGAGCTCAGGCTACTCTGATTTTTTTTTCTCTCAATAACAAATGTTATGCTTTTAAGGAATTTTATGTTGATATAATTTGCTTATAATTTCAAAAATAATTTTTAAACATTAAGTAAAGCAACATCAAAGAAATTTAGTCTTGAAATTAGTGTTTCAATGGAGTTAAACTTCATTTTAGAATAATTTCCGTGTTGGTTTTCAAAATGCATACATGAATTGAAATGTTAAATATAAATACATGTGTGAAAAATCGCATATATGTCTTGTTTTCATGTGTAGGGTTTCATGTGCATCATTTGAGTGACTTGGTAGCAGCGCTAGGTTGGGCTCTGTTTTGTTTGAGCTAGAGTCAGTTGTTAATAATTCAGATTTCAAGCTCAACATTTGTTGTGTCCTGAGGCAAATTGCCTAATTTATCTCAGTCTCATTTCATCATTTTTGGGTTGTTGGGAGGAATGTTTTTACACAGGGTTTGAAATATGCACACACATAATCAGTGGTCATTCCTTTCTGCTCTACTACTTGGAAATTCAGATTTCCTCTTTAATCCAGCAGATAGAAGGAGTTACTTCATAATGAAATAATTCATTGATTAACAGTAAGGGTCTTTATCAGTGTTTCCTATTGTTTGTAATCTTAGCTGTTTGGTAGGCTGAGATGGTGACAGAAAAAGGTAGGCTGAGACACCTTAAACTTCAGTCTTAGGAGACATTGCCAATTAAGTATCATCTATAAACCAAAGTAAGCAAGCTCATAGATTTCTTCAAATTTTGAGCAAAGTAGAGTTTTATTACCCCTTAAGTATTTTCTTTATTTAAATGATATAAGCAAAGATAGTTGTCATTTAAGTTGTTTCCTAGTGAAGATTTTTAAATAAGATCTATATTTTGTAAATGAATTGTTTGTATGCCAACAGATGACTAAATGGTTTCAAAATGTTTTCAATCATATATTTTAAATAATTAACAATTCTCAGGAATAGTAACATTTCGAGCATTTCAGTAAAACTAGGTCACTTTTTTTTTTTTTAAGTGTGTATTGCTATATTCTTATAATTCGAGTTATATCAAACAGCTTGGTCCAAGCCTTTCAAACACTCCAGAAGCAGAGAGAACTAAAGTGGACAGGTTCTTTCTGCTTTTCAATCTCAGACTTTGCTCCAGTGGGAACCATAGTCAACAGACTGTAGTAGAAAGTCTAGTGTTCTTTTGATGCATAGACATACCTTACCTGCATTTTTACAGAGTTATTTATACATGTTACCATACTAAATGTATTAGTCTGTGACTTGTCTTTTCCACATCCTGTAGCTTGGGGTCACTAAAAATGACTATCTTAGTCTTTTTTTAAGACACAGACATCTTTGTGGAAATGTAAAAATATTTCTGTAGGAAAGATTTCTAGAAACAGAATTGTTGGTTCAAAGGGTCTGTGTCTTTTAAAGTCCATCAGAAGCTGTCAAAATTATTTTTCCCGATTGGCATTACCAATTTAACACTTAAATTATATATGCATTTATTTTTCAGCAAATGTTTATTGCACATCTTTTGTGTTGTCAGTACAGTTCTAGGTATTGCCATTACAATGGCAAATAAAACAAAGTCCTTATTCTCAGTAAGTTCACGTTGTACTGGGGGAGAGAAAGACTATACAAACAGTTAAGTAAATATATAATGACAGGCGGTGAACAGTACTATGAAGAAAAATGAAGTAGAAAAAGGGAATGTTGGGAGAAGGGGGTCTTAGGGTGATCATGGGTTGCTAAGGAAGGGGTGACATTGAGCTGAGAACTAAATAAATTATATTCTCTTGATATACTAGTAGGTTCAGTTCGCTAATTGCTTAGGGTTTTCATGTATCTTTGAGTGACGATTTATAAAATATTAGAAAGCATTTGTTTAATGTAATAATCTTCTACCTGACCATTAAAAATTTTACTCATTTTGATTGGTTACCCAGTTATGTCCTGCTTGTAGAATGAGTTGAAAAGTTTTCCGTCTAAGGTTCTTGAGCAGCTAAAAGAAAATAGGAGTGATCTGTTCCTTGAACGGTCTCTGTTTGCACGCATGAGGAAGGCTGTCTTTTCCCAGCTCCTTGGATTCTGAGCAGTGCCATTCCCCTCCCTGTTCACTTCCAAGGACATGTATACCCCCTGAGTGAATGCACCCTTTCCCTGGTGGTCCTTGAGGACAGAGGCAGAAACCATGTATATGGGAGCCCCTCTGCTGCTGTTCCCAGGCTCCTGTTCTCAGAAGTACTTGTCAGTAAACTGTTGGTAAACAGCAGTTTACGCCATACAGTTGCACTAGGGAAAGTACTAGAAGGGCAGGGTAAGAGGATAGTAGATTTGGGCTGCCTTCTTCTAAGGAATATTCACTTGCCAAAGTATAAAGTGTATTTTTCAGTCTTTTGTTAGAGTTGGGACAAAAAGAGGGAAGATGTGTGTACTTACTGTTTAGTCCACTCTCTTGACCAGGCAATGAAAGTAATTTGTTCCAGTACTAACGATAATAGGTCCTGTGGGTTACTTAAAATGTATAACTAGGGAAGATCCACTGGTCTTATATTAAAATAACTTTTACTTACATTCTGGTGTCTTTTTTGAGGTGAGAGGAGTCCCTGATATTTTGGGAATTGTGCATTATGTGTGTGTGTGTGTGTGTGTGTGTGTGTGTGTACACACACACACAGATACATATACATAGATGTACTATACATTGTGCATTTGAAAGTAATCTGTTGTATATGCATAAAGGTTTGAAAACTGCTAACTGAAGTGTAATAGTGAAATCCTTAGAAATATCTGATTATATTTATAAATGTCTGTTTTCAGGAAGATACCTGCATTGTTGTGATCTATAGCAGAATTAGAACTTGATCTCTTTTTGGGTTAAATTTATTTCAGAATCTTGACAAAACTTTTGGAGGTGTCAGATGATCCCCAAGTCTTAGCTGTTGCTGCCCATGATGTTGGAGAATATGTGAGGCATTACCCACGAGGCAAACGGTAAGAGAAAACTGTTAATTTCGTTTGGTTTTTGAGACCTTCAGTACAGAATCCTAAATCATGTACTTCTCTAAAATAGAGTAGATTAGCAGAGGAACTAACAGAGTAAATGAAATCAAGATTGCCACAATAGTGGGAATTGTGATAAACCCAATTAAAAATGAGTTGTATAAAGATGTAAGTACACTTACATAATACTACTGTGTAGTAGTCAGTGAGATCACATTAGCTGTTTCATGTTAAAGATTTTCTTTGGTTTGTGTGATTTAATTCAGTAGCCATTTCGTGAGTACTGGCTGTTTTTCTACTGCTAATTATACTTACAGAGTTGAATTAGACATTGTTAATGACTTCAGTAGGTTCAAAGTATAAAAGTATAACATCTGTAAAGAAAAGTTCCAGTAGTTGCATAGTAATGGAATTATGTATTTCAAGTATTGAAGTGTGGGAGGACACAAGTACTGCTGCTTTATAGGTGAGGTGTTACATAGATGTGGTAGCAGCAAAAAGACAGGTTTGTTTTAGAGAACTAAGAAATCAAGATGCCAATATCATTTATATAAAGGGAGGAAATACTAAATAGGACAAAGGGGCTGTTTTATTTTGTTTGGAAAATCAGAAATATCTAGTGCTGTCCCATTGGCTGATTGGTTCCCTAATCTATAAAATTGGGATGATGATTATATTTCTTTCTTATGAGTTAATGTGAAGAGTAAATGAGTTAATCCAAGTACAGTGTTTAGAGCAATGTTGGTAGGTAATATTTGCATAGTAAATACTCATTAAATATTAGCTGCTTTTTATTATTATTCATGTTAATATTTTGTATTCATCAAAGCTAAAAATGAGGAAGACATACAAGAGTATTTATCTTATTTATTAAATGACAATGTCAAGATGAATAACCCATGGCTCCTTAAAACGTGAAAGAAAAATTGGAACAACAGTTGTAGTTAGATTTTAACATTCTGTGGTTACTCACGACTTCTTCTTATATATAAATACTTAGACACTGTGGGTTGCCCAACAACTGGAGCTCCTCTAGAGAAACACAAGGCAAGTGGCAGATGGGAAACTACTCAGACTGTTGGTATATACCTCAGGGAAAGTGGAGGTTACTTTAGTGTAACTAATGAATCACTCAGTGTTTGAACTGCAGGATGTTTTCATTCTGATCCAGTGGTGTAAACCCTTGTCACTGGTCTTGCATAGAACTTTGTTCTAGGTGTACTTCAGAAAGCTGTCACAGATGCAGACGGGGTGTGTGTGTATGCATGTTTGAAAAAGAGCTTAGTACATTACAAGAAGCTTAGAAAGCAAATGGGAAATGGTTAAGAGGAGAAAAAAACATTTTTGGGAGAGAATATTACAAGTTGAGTATCCCTAATCAGAAATGCTTGTGACTAGAAGTTTTTCAGTTTGGACTTTATATTGCATTACTGATTAAGCATCCCTAATCCAACAATCTGAAATTCAAGATGCTCCAATGAGCAATGAGTGAGATGTTAGCGTCCAAAAAATTTTAGATTTTGGAGCATTTTGAATTTCACATTTGGAATGCTCTACCTGTAACAAGAAGTACTATATTCATGCTTCCTTCCATATTTAAAAGAAAGCATTAAAAGTTCCTACACTATTTCTTGCAACATTATTATAATAGCAAAAATGCTTGAAAATAAGCAAAATATGCAATAATAGTGGCATAGTTAAACAGAATAGTGCATAAATATATATCATGAATTTTTGGTGGCATGGGAAGATGCTTGTTAAACCGTGATAAGCTGAGCAAAACACATCAGTTATTAGATGTGAACATACACATACTACATGAAACAAAGCAATAAAAATATTAACAGTGACTCTCTCTCATCTATGGAATTCCAAATTTTATTTGTTTTTTTCCTTGTAGACTCTGCGTTTTCTGGTTGCAAGTAGGGAGGGGAAGCAAATATGACCCTTTGGGCCAGTTCAGTCTTCTGTGGTGCTTCTACGTCTGTCTGTATGTGAAGAATTGACTTGTGACACTTGCCATCCCCATCCCATGAGGGTGGTAGGAGAATCTCCCAATTGGGAAGAAAGAAATGTGGAAAGCACATATAAATCACACTTGGGTATGGTCAGGATGGAGCACGAGTGTCTTTGCCTCTGTTGGCCAAAGTTTCCACCGTATAAATGGTGTCCTGTTGGTTGGCAAGTCGGAAGCCTCAGTCTCAGGGGCCCAGACTCTCCTGCCAACTGAGGTGGCTGAGAAACCTCAACATCACCCAAGAGCCTGTCTGCTAAGTAAAGTTTCTTAGGACCCTTGAGGCATATTCAGATGCTCAGCCCCCTGGCATTCAAGGAAAAGCTGCTGTCTTTTCAACTCCCATCACCAAAACAGAGTAGACTCTTGGGTTTTGAAGACTGTACATGCTGCACATGGGCTTTCTACGTGGTCCTCCATATTGGCTTACCGACCGGTTGGCAGCCTTTGTGTTAGGGCCCAGACCAACCACTGCACTGGAAGCTGTCAGCACTCTGTGGCATGCTCTCTATCTTGTGGCTGTACAACTTGAATGTCCCCTTTCAGCTATGGTCTCTGACTGGTGATTTTGCCGATTGGAACCTCTGACGAAGGGAGATGGCCTCCATTCAGAGGAGTTTGGATTTGTCATTTCCCTGACATGGATACAGGTACACATCCCTTTTGGAAAGCAGCTCTGCCTGCTGCTGTCGAGCTGACCCAAGTAGGCCTTGAGACTCAGCCACATCATGCCCCCTGAGGTCTCAAGCATATCTTCTTGTGTATAGACAGCACTTATGCTGATAGCTAGTTGGCAACACAGACCTCAGAATGGAGTCATGCAGCGGCTGAGTTCACAGACTAGACTAACTAGAAGTAACTAAAAGGCCCCGGTGACAGTCAGTCATCTTTGGTGCTCTTGAAGATAGGCATTTTCTCCTCTGTCTCACTGCAGTAGGTCACATGGAGATACTAAACAATAGAATTCTTATCAAGATGTTTTAAGTAAACTCATCTGAATTACTTAAACTATACTAAGAAAAGGACCTTTAGAACAATCAAAAATAGTTCTGTGCTTTTTAGAATATTTAAGGTTTACTCTAAAATGACATTTTTCTATTTCACCAGCTGGTATATTTCTTAAATGTTCTTACTAGGGTTGTACTTGTTAATCGTGTAATATTTTAAGTCCTTAAAACTGAACTTGCTATTGACTCAACTTGTTTTGAAATATGGTTATCAAGGTTATCCCTATTAGACAATACCTAATAAATGAAGTACTTGAATCTAGTTCTAAAAAATCATGAAATATCTTGTCTTTTTAATGATGTTTTATAATCTACCAACTGGAAAAATTATTCTTGCTTTTTTTTCAAGTATTTATGATATAGGACATTTATATAATCTGAAAGTAATTGATGTTTCAATTGCATCTGGAATCCAGAAGATGAGAAAATGTGTTTCTTTTGTAGCATTTGGGAGGATAAGGTTTTCTACCCTCTGTGAGACCTGTCGGCTCTGAGGGCAATAACATATAGTTTACAAATGAATGCTGGGCATTCATGTAGTTTACAAATGAATGCTTAATAAGTAAACATAATAATGTCCATTGCTAAAAGCAGCACTTCTAAATTTACTTGGCAAGTGGTAATATGAGAAGATGGCTGCAAGGGGCAAGAGTTTAGAATGTCAAAAACATTGCTTTTACTAGGCAGTATATTTGTTGTGAGGATTACATGAGATGAAAAACATGAGGCATTGAGCACAGCGCTCTACATGTGCAAAAGGGGTCACACTGGTATTACCAAAAATGGTGTATGAGCGCTATGTTTTTTATAGTCATATTTCTCTCATAACATGGCAACTCTTTGAGGTTGTGTTTTGATCCTCATTATTCATGGATTCCAGATTTGTGAATTTTCCTGCCTGCGAAAATTTATTTAGCCCTCATCTCAATATTTGAGGCACTTCCAGATACCCGTCATCCACGGATATGTGTAGAATGTTGAAAAATTTGAGTTGCCAATGGGCACATTTCCAGCTGAGGTAGTAAAAGGCAACGTCTGCCTTCCTATGCTTGCTCTTCCTCTACAAACAAGCTTCGTTTACCTGGTCTATTTACTGCCACGTATTTCACATTTGTGCTTTTTGGGGGGGTGATTTTGCTGTTTTAAACACCTCCTAAGCCTACCGTCTGTGTAGTGTTCCTAATCGCAAGAAGACTGTGATGCACCTGTGGAGAAAACGCTTGTGTCACATAAGCTTCCTTCAGGCAGCAGTTACAGTGCTCTTGGCTGTGGGTTCATTGCTCAGGCAAAGTCTAGGGAACAAGGGGCATGTGGCTGTCCTCTGTGGAGTGAAGCCAGGCCCCAGTGGCTACTGTGAAGGGCCTTGTTGGCTGTTTTAAGAGTTTGGGTCTTTTTGTTAAGAGCAGTGAAAGCCACTGAATTGTTTTAAGTAGGAAAAATGATATTCAGAGTTTGCTGAGATCCCTTTGACTAGAGTGAGGAGAACGGATGGAGGGAGCGCAACTCTGTGTTATCCTCATTGCAGCAGACCTGGGCTTTGCGTACTGCAGGTACATGGGTTTATGCTCTTTAGTTGTTACCATCATGCTGAACAAGGAGATGGCCTTGTTCTCACTGTCTGGCAGGGAGGAATTTATGAGGTAATGGCTTGCCTAGTTAACCTATCTGATAAATGACAGAGCTGGTATATTAGAATAAGGCAATGTTTTAAAGCACAGCACCTGGCACATAATAAGCACTCACCTAGTGTTTGGTTACACTTATATTGTACTTCCCCCCCTCAATTCAATATATATACTTTAAATTTGGATTTAAAAAATAAAATATGAAAAGGTAAACAGGTATAAAAGCATCCCTCTCATCCCTGTTCCCCACCACTTATTTCTTCCTGGTCCCAGAAACCTTACTGATCTGGGAGATTTTCTTAAACCACTAAACACGCTTTTGCATTACAGTGTTGCTTGTCACTGACCACGTAGTAGGTACTGTTCACCAGACAGTTCTGGTGGATGAAGAGCAGTCAGGGAAATCCACACAGTTGTGCTGGAGTTGAGAGACTCCACAGCTCTATCTGTAACCATACCATGGCTAAGGAGCAGAGGACCTCTTTTCATTCTTGAAATAAGTGGATTTTCAGGGTATCAAGGGTGCGGTGATAGAAAGCAATGTCAGTTATCTTGAGGCTCTTGAAGATGTGAATTTTCTCCTCTTTCTCCCTGCTTGGAAGGTCATGTCACATATTTCATCATTATGAGAAAGGAGCAGATATCTTATAATCAATACTCCTTTCCAGGAAATTAACGAGTGCTCTTTAACCCTCTGTCTCCTACTTCTGCACTTAAACCCATACCTATTGCACAGCACAGTCACTAGTGAACTTGATATTGATCTTGTATTATTATGCAGATTAGATAGTGTTCAATACTGATTTGAAGGAAGCCAGAAATATTGGCAATAAGGAAGTTAATACCCAACTACAGTACTTAGAAAACTATAATCTAGAATACTATTGTCTGTGTGGTATCCAGGTAGATGATATTTTCTTGGATTAAGAAACAGTTGGATTTATCAGTAGGAATTCAAAAGAAAAAATATTTGAATATTTAAAATCTGGTTCAGAGAAAATGATTTTAAAACGATATGTATGTTGGTTTTCGTACATATATTGTCACTTTCACATATAAAATTCCTTGGTGTCTTAGTATTTGAACGTTCTACTTATGAACAGCGTGAGTTTGAATGTAATTGCATCTCCTCACCAAGTCTTTTTGGTTCACAGGGTCATTGAGCAGCTTGGTGGGAAGCAGCTGGTAATGAACCACATGCATCATGAAGACCAGCAGGTCCGCTATAATGCTCTGCTGGCTGTGCAGAAGCTCATGGTGCACAACTGGTATGCCACAGCTTTTTGCTCTCACTCGTATATTGTCTGCAAGCTCTCATTTGCCCCTTCTAAAAGTTCTTTGTAAATACTCTGATGATTGTTTTTTTTAAATCAGTGATTTTGATTAAAAACTTTGCAATAGAGTTTAGTAATTTAGAGTACTGCCATGACAATTTTTAAAAAACAGACTACTCTGCCGACCTCAGCCTGTAATCCCACGCCTTTGGGAGGCTGAGGTGAGTGGATTGCCTGAGCCCGCAGGTTCAAGACCCGCCTGGGCAGCGAGACCTCATCTCTACAATAAATCAAAAAATCAGCCAGGCGTGGTAGCGCGCGCCTGTAATTCCGGCTACTCGGAAGGCTGAGGCGGAAGGATCGCCGGAGCCCAGCAGGTCGAGGCTGCGGTGGCCGGGAGCGGCCGCTGCACTCCAGTCTGGGTGACCGAGTGAGACTCCAACTCAAAAAACAAAAAAAACCGAAAAGCAGACTGCTCTAATGGTCTCACAGAATGTTAAGAGCAGTGAAAGCCACTGAATTGTTTTAAGTAGGAAAAATGATATTCAGAGTTTGCTGAGATCCCTTTGACTAGAGTGAGGAGAACGGATGGAGGGAGCGCAACTCTGTGTTATCCTCATTGCAGCAGACCTGGGCTTTGCGTACTGCAGGTACATGGGTTTATGCTCTTTAGTTGTTACCATCATGCTGAACAAGGAGATGGCCTTGTTCTCACTGTCTGGCAGGGAGGAATTTATGAGGTAATGGCTTGCCATTAGTCAAAGTAATCACGTAAAAAGCAACTCCAGAAGTAACTAAAAAGACCCTGTGACATAACTAAATCTGTCTCTTTTGGAGTTGAATACAGTTGGACTACTGATTACTTTATAGTCACTGCAATTTTGCAAGGTTTAACTCTTCAGCACACAGTTAACCTGAGTGGATTTTACCAGTTCACATAAAAGTGTTAAAAGTTGATTGATCAACATGAACACTGATTAACATTTTATTCATTATAGCTCTTAGCTATGGAAGTAAACAGAATCGTGCTTTTCTGTTGTCTGTCTTCATTTTTATTTATTTATTTATTTTGAGTTGGAGTCTCACTCAGTCGCCCAGACTGGAGTGCAGTGGCCGCTCCCGGCCACCGCAGCCTCCACCTGCTGGGCTCCAGCGATCCTTCCGAGTAGCTGGAACTACAGGCGCGCGCTACCATGCCCGGTTAATTTTTTGATTTATTGTAGAGATGAGGTCTTGCCAAGTGGCCCAGGCGGGCCTCGAACCCGCGGGCTCAGGAAATCCACTCACCTCAGCTTCCCACAGGCTGAGCCACCGAACCTGGCTGACTTCATTTTTAAAACAAAAACTATTGACCTTTTTGTGCCCACTTAAGATAAATTAAGAAATGACTGTCTAAATATAATGAAGAGCCTTTGGTGTACCTGATGGAACAAATGAGGATTCCCTCTGGCATGGCTGTTTTCTCTGTAGGTTGGATGTTCCCTGCTTTCAGTGCTCATCTAAACAGCTAAGATGCCTTTCTATTCCCCACTCTCTGGAGGGATGTGCTGGTTTTGGACTGTTTTTGTTAAGGCACAAGACACAAATCATACACTGCCTATGACTGATAGTCATGCTGCCAGCACTTTCAGGGAAAGGCTTAATGGCGCATTAGCATAAGCACGTTTGAAGATGAAGGCAAAGACAGTATCGGAGACTCTCCTGAGTAGTTCATCATATGTATTATCTGGCATCATTTGTTAAATATTGTGGTCCTGCCACTGATGTGCTTTTCTCATAAATGCTGACATTTATGCATTCTTGCAATAACTGCTTTTTGAGAACTTGCTTTGGAGCCCTGTGTAAGTGCTGATACAGACGTGGTGGAAGTGGGTACAACTTCCATAGGATGATTAGAGAAGGCCTCTTTGAGTAGGCCAAGCACTTAGGCTGATAGGAAACATCCATACAGCTCAATTATTGAGAGTAGGAAGCATTTCAGGTAGGGGGAATGAGAGGGGAAGAAGGCTGTGAAGCAGGAATGAGTTTGGCTTGTTTAGAGCAATGTATGGGGACTTACTTGGTTGTAACTCTTGGGGTGGAAGTGCTCCTGTTTCAGGGTAAAGACCAGGGCTGCAGGTCGACATCCTGCAATGCACAGATAGCCCCCAACGTTAAAGGAGTGTCTGGCCCTATATGGCAATGCTGAGGTTGGGAAACTCTGATTTGAATGATAGTGCAAAGGCCCGCATGAGAAAATGTGGTTAGGGAGGGATAGACAGAGACCTGATCACGTAACGTCTTATCAGCTGTCAGTTGACTTTTAATGAAATGAATTGAAAACCATCAAAAGGCTTTTAGGTGGGTAAATTATGAGATTTCATTTAAGTTTTTAAAACATCACTTTGAGCACGTTCTGGAGAATGGATTGTACAGGGATAAGTGTGAAGCAAGAAAAGCGTTCTAGTTGGCTTTCATGTTGGTCTAGGGTTCATATGGCTGACAGCTTGGACTAGACAATAAATGTTGAGTGCGCTTGGGCAAATTTCAGAGCTAGTTCTGGCAGATTTTGATGGGCTGAAAGTGTTTTTACTTTTTTTTTTTTTTTTTTTTTTAATATCCTTGGTGCAGGAAGAATGGAATCAAAGGAGAGAGTACTCCAAGATGTTTTTTATCTATTTAGCAGGAGGAAAAACTTTTGTCAGTAAAACATAGACTACTCCACTGGAGTTCTCTCCTTGTTTCACTTTGCCTTGAGCTAGAGTTTTTCAGCATAAGTGAATTATTTGATAATTTCGTGTCTCTCAGTTTGCTTATGTCTCTCTTGTGAAATTAATTTAAAGAATGTTGGCATTTAATAGCATTCAAAGCTGTTGCAACCAGTGGCCTTTTTTTTTTTTTTTTTGCCAGATGGTTTTCTAAAGTTCCTGTGAAAGTCATAGTTTTTTCTCTTTTTATTGAAGTTAGCATTGTTGAAATATAATTCTTGTTTTATTAATAAGAAATATTTTCATTTTGATAATTCTTTCTTTTGAAGAGCTTGTTTTTGGATTTAGTAGTTTTCTTGTTTGTTTTTCTAATTGTGTATTCCTGTTGTGAAAGAAAAGATGTGTGTGAACTAGAATTTTGACATTTTCCCTTTGCTAGTGGAGGTAATATTTTGGTTGAGAAATTTTATTGTTCAAATGATCATACATCAAAGTTGAAATATTTAAAATTTGACTTTTTCTTAAATTTAGGAACCAAATTTAGTCTCATAGTACATTTTTCCATGTGTGATTATATGAGGGAGAATATATATGTCTTTATAAACAGACTGGTTTATTCACTCTTTGTCATTGACTGATGAGAGAGTATTCTTTTTTTCGTCCCTTTTCTAATTATTTGCCAAACTATTTTAACTTTGATGCTTTAAATATGATGAATTTCCTTTGTATTTAATGGAGAAGTTGAGTGTCCACAGTTTTCTGCACTTTCCTCATAAGGAAATTTTCATATGAAGGAAGACTAGAATTCTCATGTGACATCTAAATTTTTTTATGACTTGTAAATTTCTGTGGCTCTGTGTGCCAGAGAATTAAAGTTGCTCAACTAATAACAACTTATTTCAATATCAGTTTAATACGAGACTAAATAGAACCATTTGGAAAATAATCATCTGCAAAAGTGTATCCCCAAATGTAAAAAGTTTGGATTAGTATCTTTATTCAGTCAACCTAGTTGTCTGTATTAAACCATGATAGCAAAGACTGCTTTTCTACTTGCCTAAAATATGCTGCTGGTGTTCTGAAAATGTCTATTGATTGGATCATATAAAATTCTCTTGGAATTGTTTACTTCACACCGAGTGAGAACTTAAAGACACAGTTGACTTTGTTTTCTCTTGACATTAGTTTGATTTAAATTGAAATGAGTTTTTATAAATGATATGTTAGCATTCTCCAGGGAAATATTATTTGAAAATAATTAAAGCATAATTATGGATGGGTAGTGGCGGCCCTTCCCCTTATCCCTGGGTGTTTTCCAGTCGTGGGTGCCCGGCCACACTTTTACATTTCCAGCACATTCTGGATTTCCTTTTACTGTTCTACCCTAAATGAGTTTTAGAGTTTTGATATTGTATTATTTTTAAAGTTTCTATTTATTAGACTAAATTGTAATTTGAGAGACATTAAAGTTAACACATATTGGTTTCTACAGGGAATGTAACAAGCCCTAAGTATAATATCAAAATTACATTTTAAGTGTGAATTAGATACTTAAGAAATTATGGGACTGGCTTGGCTATGGATCTTGATTTTGATTCTGTTGTAAGGAGTTAAGTATTAAGTTTCTTGATAATGTAGAGATAAATTGGAGTTTATCACGGATAGATAGTTACATAACAGATGAAAATACTTATGTAATTATTTTTTATAATTTTATGTTTTTCAAAATTATTCTTTGAATTGTGGGTCTTAGAATAGCCAGCGTTTCTCTTCTTTCCCTTTGCATCTGTGTTTATCCATTATTATCCAAGTGAGTCTGGGAGAGCAGTGGGGGGAGGGAGGGGACAGTTGGCACCCGCCAGGATCCCTTGGCTCAGAGGCCTTGAGCGGGCCCATCCCACTCAGGGGTCTCCCTCCTGGTGGCACACACAGCCCTCTGATCTTTTAGTGCCCACTCTGGCATTCCCAGCGTATCCATTGTTCTTTTGCTCAGTACTGGATTTTTTTATATTTTAAAATTTGCAAAATACTTACTCTAGATAACTTGTTAATGTACTCTCAGTTCATACATGTAACATCATAAAGTGTCGTCATTTTTCTCCTACAGAATGATTTTAAGTGTAATCACCCTCTAATTCAGAAGCAACAATACGTGCATATGGACAGCTCAGGACTTCAGGAAAGAAACACTGAATTTTGTAGGTAGAGGATCTCATGTAGAATTTTCTGTCTGTTTCTAGATTCTTTTTCAACCTTTTCTCCAGCAGAATAAGAAGTTATAAAAGAGTTATCCTGTCTAGATTTCCT